GTTCATCAGATGAATTACATCAAGATTAACTGTGCTCAGGTTTAGCCAGCAAATAAACTCTAGTAGGTTCCCTTTATTCAATCATATGCAGCTCTATTTATTTATTTAAATATGTAGTCTTTTGATTGAAGGGTGATGATTTATTGTAATGCAATGATTGCATCATTAAGCTTGTCAAAATTTTCAACTCAGAAATTTTCCTGCCAAAATTTGGATTTTGTCAAATATATTTTTATGGAAAAATGTAGTTTGACAAAAAATTTCTATTTTTCAATGGGGAATTTTGAAATCAATGACTAAAATTGTCCTTCATTTTGAATAAATCTTTTCATTTAGTTTATCTTTGTGAAACCTGAACATTTTTTAAAATTGTGATTCTTCTTTGTCCCTTTTCTATATTTTGCCACTGAATTAATGAAATGAGGGATTTGGATCTGTAGGCTATGACTTTGCTTCCTTCTTTTTTTTCTTTTTCTACATCTTTGTTGTTATTCTGTCTTCCTGATTAAGGTAATCATCATTGTGGTAAACAACTTTTTTAGCCTTCTCAACATTTAAAAAAATGCTCCTCTCACTTTTTGGTGCTATTTGTGGATTTGGTTAAAAAAAATCCTTTTATCAAGTGCCATAATTGCTTGTTCCAAGATATTCTCCAATGTACATTTCTTGACTGATATAGTGATGCACAGAAATTAGCCAGTCTCATCGTTGTATCCTTATTTATTTAAACAAATAATTGTTGACAAAAGCATTTAACCCAAAGCATATTAATACATACATGAAGAGAAAAAATATAGATTACAGTGAATCAAGGATAATCTACTTCACCTGCAGACATCATAACCACAAGAACAAAGCTAAAGGCATTATACTGTGATATTTGCAGCACTACAAAGTGAATCATGTGCCTCCTGAGAGAGGCTGAACACTGCTTACTCTCATTGACTTTACCTACTGGCAGTTGAAATCACTCAGAACTTTAGAAGACTGTTCCTTCTTGACTCCATCTCTTTTAAAGCATTCTTGCCCCATTTCCTCTATTTTTCCTACCTACTCAGTTTACATTATGATATTGCTGCAGGCTCTCCTTACACAGACATATATACCTATTGGCTTCAGGGAAAATTCTGTCTGAGAAAAGATTAAAACTGGGTATTTGACAAAAATGCTGTTTTGATCCCTCCAAAACTATGCATAAATTTGACAAATATTTTCACCCATTCACAAAATAGTGGGAGGATGTGGTGGTGCTACTTTTGTTGTACCTCTGTAAACCTCTAGTCCAGTGATTAAGTCACTTGGCTGGAATATAGGACACTCAGGTTGAAATCCCCACTGTGGAACAGTCTTGAAAAGTTGCTAAAAGTTACACAGTATTTCAGATTCAGTTAAACACAAACTACATTTGTTTCCAATTTTTTTTCAGAACTGCCACTGAACCAAAAAAAAAAATTATTTGCCCCTCTTTTGTGAAGAGGAAAAGATCAGGCCTTTGGCTGCTTTGATGTAATATTGCTATTGATTTGTTTTGACAGATCTGTGAAAATTAGAACAGTACAAGATGGGGGAGTGTCTGTAAGAGTGAAGATTATCAGTTGTGATTTAGCTAAGGAAAATCAATCAGAAATATGACATTCTCTCCTGCAATTCCTCAATGCTCAGCATACAGTTTTAATTTAAAACTGTTTACTCCTCATTGTTTAGAAATGTGAGGGGTTTGTTTTATTTATTAAAAAAAGATTCCAACAGCTAGCTTAGCCCAAAATATTCACTATAGAGAAGTGCATCTACACTGTCCTTTGCATCTACACTGTCATGTCGACAAAGCGGCTTGCTTTGTCAACGGAACTGGATGTAGTCTAGACTCTCTGTCAACAGAACCTTTGTCGACAGCACCAGTCGACAAAACTTCTGTCAATAAAAGCCTTTAGTCTAGACGTACCCTTTCAGAAAAAGGCTTCTTCCTCATAGAAAGAGGTTTACCAATGTCAGAGAAAAGCCTCTGTTCTTTCAATTTTCTTTCAAAAGACTGCGATTGCAGTATGGATGTACATGAAGTTTTTTCAGAAAAATGGCAGTTTTTCTGAAAAAACTCTCAGTGTAGTCATACCCTCATAGGGAGTAGGAAGAACAGGAAATCATTGAGTGATCCCTCTCTTGTCATCCCTTTCCAGCCCCTGACAAACAGAGGCTAGGGACACCATTCCTACCCATCCTGGCTAATAAGTATTGATGGACCTAAATCTCCATGAATTTATCAGTTCTTTTTTGACCTCTGTTAAAGTCCTCATCTTCACAACATCCTCTGGCAAGGAATTCCACCGGTTGACTGTGCATTGTGTGAAGAAAAAAATCTTTTGTTTATTTTAAACCTGGTCACCCCTAATTTGTATGTTATGGGAACAAGTACATTTTTTCTTATTCACTTTCTCCATACGTGACATGATTTTATAGTCCTCTAACATATCCCTCCTTAGTCTCCTCTTCTCAAAACTGAAAAGTCCCAATCATTTTAATCTCTTCATATGGCAACCATTCCAAACCTTTAATCATTTGTATGTCTTTTTCTGAACCTTTCCTAGTGCCAATATATATTTTTGAGATAAGGCTATCACATCTGTAAGCAGTATTCAAGGTGGGAGCATACCATGGATTCATACAGAGGCAATAAGATATTCTCTTAGTCTCTTTCGGTATGTCTACACTAGCCCCCTAGTTTGAACTAGGGAGGCTAATGAGGGTGACCAAAATTGCAAATGAAGCACGGGATTTAAATATCCCGCGCTTCATTAGCATGTTCCTGGGAGGTCGCCATTTTGGAAATTGACTAGCCCGGAGTAACTGCTCGGGTCTACACGTGGCACTGAAATGGGAGTTTGAAGTAAAGCCCTAACTCGAATGATCTGTTATTCCTCCTGGAATGAGGTTTAATAGCTAGACGCGGGGAGTTATTCTGGGCTAGTCAATTTCTAAAATGGCAACTGCCCGGGAACATGCTAATGAAGCGCAGGATATTTAAATCCCATGCTTCATTTACAATTTCAGTCACCCTCATTAGCCTCCCTAGCTCGAACTAAGGGGCTAGTGTAGACATACTCTAACTCTTTTTTTAATGATTCCCAACATTGTTTGATTTTTTGACTGCTGCTGCACATTGAGTGGAAGTTTTCAGAGAACTATCCACAATGACTCTGAGATCTCTCTTGAGTGCTTATCGCTAAATTAGTCCCCATCATTTTGTATGTGTAGTTGGGATTATTTGTTCCAATGTGCATTACTTTGCATTTATCAACATTAAAATTAATTTGCTATTTTGTTGCCCAATCACCTAGTTTTGTGAGATCCCTTTGAAGCTCTTCAGTCAGCTTTGTTCTTAACTATCTTGAGCAGTTTAGTATCATCTGCAAATTTTGCCACCTCAAAGTTTACCCCTTTCTCCATACCATTTATAAATAGGTTAAAGAGGATTGGTCCCAGTATGGACCCTTGGGGGAAACCGCTAGTTCCCTCTCTGCATTCTGAAAACTGACCATTTATTCCTACCCTTTCTTTCCTGTCTTTAAACCAGTTATAAATCCATGAGAGAACTGTCCCTCCTATCCCATGGCAATTAACTTCTATGTAAGAACCTTTGGTGAGGGACCTTGTCAAAGACTTTTTAGAAAGCTAAGTACACTATATCTGTTGGATCCCATTTGTCCACATGATTGTTGACCCGCTCAAAGAACTCTAGTAGATTAGTAAGGCATGATTTTCCTTCACAGAATCCATGTTGACTTTTCCTCAACAAATTATGTTCATCTATGTGTCTGACAATTCTATTCTTAACTATAGTTTCAACTGATTTGACCAGTACTGATGTTACGCTTACCAGTCTGTAATTGCCAGGATCACCTCTAGAGACCTTTTTTAAAGATTGGCTTCATATTAGCTATCTTCCAGTCATTCGGTATAGAAGCTGAAAGGATAGGTTACAAACTTCAGTTTGCAGTTTCACATTTGGATTCTGTAGGAATTGAGTGAATGTCATCTGGTCCTGGACTCTTGTTGCTGTTAAGTTTATCAATTTGTTCCAAAACCTCCTCTAATGACACCTCAATCTGGGACAATTCCTCAGATTTGTTACCTAAAAAGAATGGCTCAGGTTTGGGAATCTCCCTAACATCCTCAGCTATGAAGACAAGACAGAAGCAAATAATTAATTTACTTTCTCTGCAACAACCTCGTCATCTTTGAGTGCTCCCTTAGCATCTCGACTGTCCAGTTACCCCTACTAGTTGTTTAGTAGGCTTCCTGCTTCTGATGTACTTATAAAACATTTTGCTATTACTTTTTGTGTTTTAGCTAGCTGTTCTTCAAACTCCTTTTTAGCTTTCTTCATTATATTTTTATACTTAATTTGAGAGACTTTATTCTCCTTTCTATTTTTCTCATTAGGATTTAATTTCCACTTTTTAAATAATGAAGGGCTCTGATCATGCACAGTATGACAGGTAATAGACCATAAGTCACAACTCATGACAGGTGCAAGTACTCCGTAGGAAAGATATATAGTGATCGGATAAATGGCTTGGAAAGTAGGTGCTGTTTGAAAGAAACAAATGAGGCAATTGAGGACTCCTGTGATTGGTACAGCAGGGAGCCAACCCCCCTATTCTTATAACCCACATTACTTCTCTTACGAGGTGAAGATGGAAGGTAATGTCCTAGGAATGGGATTTGCTAGAGGGACCAGGAGAGAAAAAGATGAGGAACTAGTAAAAGCCCCCCCTAATTATGGAGTAAACATGTGGTTACCTGCCCAGTACATGTTATCTGCCAGGCCCGATTAAACCCCTATCAAATGTCTCCTGTCCTTCTTCCCACATAGCTAATGTGCACTGTTCCACAGACAAGAGATACTGTGGCATGGATGTAGTTCCTCTCTGCAATAGTCTCTCTAGTCACACTGGACTCAGGGAATGGAGTTGAATTTTAATATTTGTTTGGGTTTTATTCAGATTTGTCTTCGAAGATTGAATTCTGCAAGGTGCTGAGAGCCCTCAACTTCCATCAAAATCAAAGGCCCCTTGGCAGGTTCGAGTCCTTAGTGTTTTTTCTATTTGTTTTACCTTTAAATTGTATTCAGCTTTAATGATCCTGTTTTAATTAAATCTTCATTTTCAAATAACTTTTGGCTGCTAGTTTGTAGCCTTGATTAAAAAAAAAACCTTTCATTTTACTTAAAAATATTTGTATGAAAAAGAAAACACAAGTGAAATAATACCAAAGTGACAATGCTATAAAAACATTGTATATGGCTTGATAAATATAAATATTTCTGAAGTTAAATGTGCCTAGATTTTTAACCCCTTTGTTTTGTTTTTATAAAAATAGTTGGGATAAAAAATATTTTTAATTGTCCAGTGATAAAAGCTGTCTAACCACAAAAAAGTCCACATCTGCTTCCACAGTAGACATATAAAACCTGTGTGACAAACATGATCATTAAGCAATCTGATTTTCTTGTTGGGAGGGTTTAATGCTGTTGGGTATAGTATTAAAATGTAGAATTTGATAGGGAGTCTTAAAATTTTAATGATGTGTTCATGAATATAAAACATGCTTCTACCAGTGACTTTATGACTTCTCCTCTGCATAATTAGTGGTATCTGTTTTATGAGCTTACTGTTGTTGCCTTGATCCCATGAAAATATAAAACCACTGTAATAATTTACACCATTCCAGACCTTTAAAGATACAAGCTGGGATTTTTTTTCCTTTGAATACCAAAATAGAAGTTATAGTGGCCCATCTGAAAGTCAAATGCAAAAACAAAAACCAAAAAATGTGAAAACAATACTCTATTTTTAGCATTTCATAATACTCTATTTATCTAAATACTGCTAGAAGTTTGGATAAAAACCTTCTTATTCCAGAGTTAGTAAATATAGATAAACTCACTTGTTGAGGGGAAAACTAGACATTTTAGTTGTGGAATGTAGAATATGATTAATTATAGTAATGAGAAAGTCGTGAGAGTCTCCAGATAGCACTAAAAATGGTACAAATACTTATTCGGTTGTTGCAACATTTGGTTTGCAGACATCTTCACTCGTTCCACATTCTTTTCCCCTCAGACTCAAGGACTATTAGATTTGAGCTGTTTTAACAATCTCACCAATACAATCAGAGGAAGCATGTTTTTGGGCCACAGGGTATATTAATTAGCTTCTTCTCTTCAATGCACCTGGTGCAGTGGTGCAGAGCAGGTGGTGGTGGTCATAGCATTTTAGTTTTTCTGAAAAATGTTGATACACTATTGACATTAAAGGATATGTCCTTGAAATTGATGACTGTATGCTTTGTGTCCCCATTCTTTCCCATGGTCTGGGTTTCATGGTGGTACTGCATCTCCCTTACTATACTGCAGTCTCCCTTCTAACCATGCTGTGCAATCCAAATGATTGCAAGGCAGGGAGCTCTGAGCTACAGTGCTCAGGAAGTAGGCACACAGGTATCTTAGGCAGATGCAGTTTAATATCAGACTGACATGAAACAAAATGTTTTGACATTTCTGAATCTAAATTTCTGAGGACTTCCCTCCCCCCATGAATATTTTGATATGCTGACATTTTGAACTGATTTATGATTAACATAAAAGTCAAATTAGAATTTTCCCTGGAATAGAAATTCCAATTTTCACTCAGCTGTAATGAAAAGCAAGATGATTCCAAGTTCAGACAGGTATCCTCATTTCCCCATTCGTGAACCATAAGCCATCCCCAACCTGATAAATACTCTCCCCCCAATGTCGTCTTGACCACCAGCTGGAAACAACACCATTTTGCTGCTGTTTTTATTCACTGCAGTATCTTGATCTCTCCAACTCATGGGGTCTGGATACCAAGAATCTAAGTTTAGCTTTTCGTGCACAGAGGTAGCCCATTAAAACCTGGTCTCCATCTCCCTTTTCTCTCTCTCTCTCTCTCTCTCTCTCAAAAAAGTCAGAGCTCTGTACTTTATTCTTGAGTTTTGCTGATTTGGGTTTTTTGGTTGGTTTCTTTTCCTTTCCTTCTCCCCATTTCTTTTTCTTTTCTTTTGTTTTAAAATAGCACTAGCTTTGTTGCTTGTCCTAGGAAGATGTTATCTCTTTCCTTTGAGGGTTAGATAGTGATAGGCAGAGGATCAGGAAACTTCAGTCAAATTGGGTATGTTTGAAAAACAAAGGTAAAAGAGAAATGCTGATTTTAAAAGTTCCTAAAAGAGCAAAATGTACAGGAGAACCTTTAATCAGCCCACATTAATAATTCAAGTGTGTTTACATAATTTGTTCATTATATACAGCACAGTTCTCATCTTGCATGATTGCCACTAGTGAGAGTTCTTCGACTGACTTCACTAGGTGCAGGTTTACTCTTTATATGTGTACAAGGTTAGACCTCTGTTAGGAGGACATTCACAAAACCAAAGCTCAAAGGGTGTGTCTAGACTATGGGAGTTTTTTTTTTTAAAAGTGGACTTTTTTTGAAAAAACTTCCCCTGTGTCTAGACTGCTGCCACGTTCTTTTGAAAGTAAATCAAAAGAACGCAGCAGTTTTTTCAATCATGGTAAACCTCATTTTACGAGGAATAACGCCTTTTTTTGAAAGTACTCCTTCAAAAAAAGGTGCAATTGAATGCAAACTGTCCTTTTTCGAAAGAGAGGGTCTAGACTCTTTCAAAAAAGTGGCTCACTTTTTCTAGATGTAAAATCTACTTGTCTAGATGGTCTTTCGAAAGAGGCTTTTTTGAAAGATTCTTTCTAAAAAGCCTCTTTCAAGAGAGGCTTGTAGTCTAGACATAGCCAAAAAGAAGAAGATACACACTGGCAAAGATTGTATGTAGGTTAAAATAATTATTAATTAAAATATGTGTAACAACAAGACCCTTCTCACTAGGGTATGCCCTATACCCACTCCATGTTTCATTGCTACATAATAGATCCAATAACTATAAATAAAATTGTTTAAAATAAATGTTTTATGATGCACTTTCAGAACCATAATTTATATTTGCATTTTACATAAATACAATATAACTACTTAATGTTGTAATAGTAAGACAAAGGTATACATATTAAATATCATTGTATTCTCCCTGCACTGAATTAGATTTCAAGGTATTTGGGGTAGGGAACTTTACTCACCCTCACACTAGAAAATATATCCCTTAGATTTAAGACTGTTGCTCTGTCCTCATGTGATTTAATTGCTCTTAAGTACCACATTTGCATCATACCCAATTAGCAGCCGGTTGTAACATGTTCTACCATGTGAGCAACCTCTCAAAGGCACAGCCACAGATTAAAAGATGAAGGGTGAGGGTTAATTATTTTTAGCTATGATTTTCCTTTAGGCATTTTAAAGAAACAAAAATATGTATTATGGGTGTTTTACTGGAAGTGACAACTACTGCTATCATATGTATAATAAATATACTTGTACATTGCTTCTCAGAACACAGGGGGTACGTCTAGATTGGCAAGATTTTGTGCAAAACACTTGCCAGCTGTCTACACTGGCCACTTGAATTTGCGCAAGAGCACTGACGTTCTAATGTAAGAATTCAGTGCTTTTTGCGCACATATTTCAACGCTCCCGCTCAGGGATAAGCCTTCTTGCACAAGAATACTTGTGCAAGAAGGCCAGTGTAGACAGGCACCTTAATTTTTTGCGCAAGAAAGCCAAATGGCTAAAATGGCCATCGGAGCTTTCTTGCGCAAAAGCGCGTCTATAGTGGGCACAGATGCTTTTGCGCAAAAGCACTTTTTGCAAAAAAGCATCCGTGCCAATCTAGACACTCTTTTGCGGAAATACTTTTAATGGAAAAACTTTTCTGTTAAAAGTATTTCCGCAAAATCATGCTAGTCTAGACACACACAGGCAGTATACTTATTGCTATTACAATGCCTCCCCAGCTTTCATGCTGGATCCAGATTTTGCTTCTTTTCCTAGCACTGTCCAAACTTATAAAATTGTTTATTTTTAATGTCTAAAAGGAACTGAACATAGAAATTATCATACCAGATCAGATCAGTGGTCTGATTCAACAACAGGATCCTGACTTCAAGAGTGGCCAGTCCCAGCTGCTTCCCAAGAATGAGATAGAATCATCGAAGTAAGCAAGCATGGAATAAGCTATCCAAAAGGGGAAGTTTCTTCTTTGCCTCCATTGGTTAAAGGATGGCTTATGCTCTGAAACATTTTTAGTCCCATCTAATGTAAATCTGGATGTTTTCATTACCTTGAGAAATGGGAAATTTCTTTTGAATTGTTGTAATCTTTGTCTCTGTGATATGCTATGGTATTGAGTTCCATGTATTAATTATATCTTGTGTGAAAAATATTTCCTTATTGGCTTTAAATTTTCTGCCTTTCTTGTTAATTGACTGCCACCTTGTTCTTGATCAAACAAATGTTTTAGAAAACTTCATCTCTAAAACCTATTCTCATTGAAAAAGTTCCATTTCAACACTTCTAGCTAATTACATACCTGAGTTTTATCATTGTACTCCACACTTTGGGGATGCTAGTAGATAAGAAAATAGGCTGCTATATGTTTGAAGATACACCATCCAAACAAAAAGTCTTTCGCATCTGTTGACTTTAACTGTAAATCCTGGAAAGGAAAACTACAGAACTCCTAATCTAGACCCTCAAGATTCCTGAAATGGCCTTTTTGAAACACTTGGGGATTCTACTACTACTTGTATTAAAATAGGGAGATTACAACCATATGCTGTTTATAAACAGCTGTTATAAAGGCCTACCTTGTATGATCATACCTTCTACAGGATTAATGCACATGGTTTTGGTCCTCCAAGCCACACCTTTCAGTACAAACTGGACCTGGTCTGTGTCCTAAGAAGGGACCTCAAATAATGTTAATTTTCCATTTTTGTGATCAGATCATCATTTATTTGAAAAATATAAAAGGAATTCCTCTTTACCATGCTAGTGAGGTTGTCCTCAAACTATTTTAATCTCAGCAAGTTTGCAGAAGTCCTTTGAAGGCAAACTCACCCAGCAGCAGAATTACAGTGTAGACAACCTGATGAATCACCACAACTAATTATAGTGGTTAAACCACTAGCATGCTGACCCCCCACCATGCCCTCGTCTCTTGCATATCTCAAAGGTCCTCAGAAGAGGTACATCACATGATTTTAACAGATTGGGAGATTAGTAAAATGTCTTCAGTGCCAAACTCACAGAACTCAAGATAAAGGGCAGTACAAGGCCCACCTTTTAATGTCTGCCACAACAATTAAGTGGGACAAAGAAAACTTTTTGCCCATAAAAGTATCCACTAAGTTAAATCTATCCCTTTCTCCTATTTTTAACGTCTGGCTGAAGTCTGTCGGAAAAGATAGAGAATATAGAAACTTTTAGTCACAGTAACTATATAGAATTTCTGTGTTTAGAATACATTATTATGATAACGTCAAAGCAATTCCATTTACATTATAAAGAAATCTTGTTTGTAAAGTGGTCAGAAAAAAAACCCAAACATTGTTTTGCAGACCTGTATTCTGAATGAAAGTTCACATAAGACATTCTTTGATAAAACAGAAATATCTTGTGGTACCACTTAAATTCACATATGAAAAATAATTATTTGAAATTTAATGGCCTTTATAATGGTAAATGGTTCTAAATATTCTACTTCTGATATCCAGTAAAGTTCATTTCAAATTTACAAATTCATAGTACACAACAACAGACACATTTTCTTACCTCCAGGAGCTTGCAGCATTTATGAATGTATACAATTCTGGATAATTTTATCTGAAAATATAATTTTCCTGTTATTTATTCCAGACACATTTTTCAGTATCAGACAAACTAAGTTCATGTCATATTCATTCAAGTCCCGTCAATGAATAAGTGATATAGATTATTTGCCAGTTGTGTTATTTTAGCCCACTCCACTGAAAACCAGGTACATATAATATAAAAAAATTGAGTTATTTGAATATTTTGGGAGCATGTGGCAGTGCACAAAACTGGAGGTCATAGTCTTGGACTATCCAGATCTCCCATTCACTTTTGGCCAATGGCTTAGGCTCTTACTCTGCAAAAAAAAAAAAAAAAAAAAAAAAATCTACCTCACAGATGAAGTTTAATACAAGGTACCATATTACTATTGCTACAATATTCTGTGTATTATACACACATTGCTGTGGACAAAGGGCTAAATGTTTGAAGATGAAATAAGCTATACTATCCTCCATTTAAAATAAAAATATATTGCTCAAATCATATTGAGGCTTCTGCCCAACCACCTCTTTGCCCTGTGCTGCTATTTCTCTCATAATGGTGTTAAAATAATACTTATCAAACTTTGTCCTTGACGGGTGACCCTGGCAGTTACGAATGAATATGAAATCACCAGGGACTTGTGTATCTGATAATGAAGCAGGGAAACAGAGAATTGAACTAAGGTATGTTTTTTTAAGTTAAATGCAAGGTGCTCTGTGCTAAAATTTATTTTCCTGTGTCCTTTACTAGTTCGATTTCTTCTTCATGTGTTCTCTGTTATGTTAAATATGGCTAATATGTGCCAGGCTGTTCTGTTTCATATGAGGAAAAAAATCAATAAAAACATAAACTAAAGAAAGAAAAAAATCTATACTTTAACTCAGCTTTCTTCACATTATAGAACAAATTTCCCCACATGTACACATGCAATTTTTATAAATTCTGAGAACAGCATTTGGTCCTAAATGTGGCTTTGGCAATTTTGTTGTTGCCTTCCCTCCCTCTCCCTCAAACCAGGATTGTACTGGAACTGGGCAGGAAATCAGGAAACAGTTTTCCATCCCAGGAATTTTTTCAAGATTTCAAAAAAAATTTACCATCTCAATTGGAATGAAAAGTCAAAATCTCAAAAGTTTTCACAAATTCACAATTCACCCCCCCATTCAATTCACGTCTACTGTGAAATTTAATTTAAAGAATTTAAAAATTGATCTGTTTATTTTACTACAATTAATTTAATTTTCAAAAAGAAAATTTACTTTGATCCACAAAACAAATTTGGAACATATTAAAAAAGGGAAGAGTTCAACAACTCAAAAAACCTTTTTTTTCAAAAAGCACAAATTATCAGCATCAACACTTTTCAGTAAACAATTTCATTGAATTGGCATTTTTCTGGCAAAAAGCATTAAGAAATATGTTCCCAGCTAGCTCTACTTAGTCCATTTAATGGGCTTCAACACTCACATGTATTTAACATACTTGGTATGTTTGGCAGCATGAAAAAGGATAAAGTTATTTTCTCCGCAGATGCTGGGAACTGAATTATGTTTACATACTGTGAGAAGCAGTGTACTGGCTGGAACAGGGGAAGGGAAGACCATAGAATGGGGTCTGTTCCCAGTTCTGCCACTGACAGGTTGAGTAATCTTGTCATCTATAAAACAGGGAGAATGAGATGAGACACATGTCTGAGAAGAGTTTGACAACTCTGGTGACCATACAATTTTGCAAAACCATTGTTAATGTTATCACAATTTTCAAGCCTTAATGTCTAAAAATTAAACCCCTGTATTCATATTTAGGCACCAAAGTAAAAGTGACCTGAATGAAGGGCACCAGAAATTACCACGGACTCCTCTGGAAGCTGTGGTTGCTCAGCACCTTTCAAAATCAGAACAGTTTGATTAAAGTGGCTATCTATGGATTGAGAAGCCTAATTTGAAGTACACAGGATTAGAAATTGCTTTTTGTAAAGCAGAGGAAAGACATACCC